CGATCAGGTCGGGCATCGCTCTAGCTTTCGGCACAGCCGAGCAGGCCGCGCAGCAGGGCGCTGGCGTCGCTCACCGGCAGCCCGGGGCGGGCGTCGAGGCCGTGGAAGAAGCGCAGACCCGTCGCCGCCTCCAATTGTGCCAGCGTCACCGTCCGCTCGCAGTAGCCGGCGCGCCGGGGCAGGTCGCGGTCGAACAGGAAGGCGCGCACCTCCAGGCGACCGTCGGCCTCGGCGGCCAGCAGCTTCCAGTAGCCGCTGGGTACGCGGTGCGATTCGTCGGCGCCGGGCATCGGCGCCATGGGCCGGGTGTAGAGCGGGCCGGTGAGCACATAGAGCGCCAGCTCCGGCGCGGCCTCGGCGGCGTCGCGGATCGCCGCCTCCAGCGCCCGCCAGGGCCCCTGGTTCACGGCGCTGGCCTGCGGCAGGATGTTCGACAGGTAGTTGACCGCCCGCCACTGGCGGTCGCCGCCGAAGCTGGCGAGCGGCGCCAGATGGCCCCGGTCGGTGCCCAGCGCCGCGTGGGCGCCGCGGTAGTCCGGCGGCTCCAGGGTTTCCGACGGCGCGAGCAGCGGGTCGGCGGCCCAGGCGCGCGCGCGGCCGCCGCCGAACCGTGCCGGGTCCACCCGATAGGCGACCCAGGCCGCCAGCTTCGTCGCATCGTCCGAGGCCAGGGTGTAGCTGCGCCGCACGATCACGTCGCTGGACGCCGGCAATTCCGTGGTCGGACAGCCGTAGAGGCAGTGCGGCGTATGCAGCTCCACCGCCGCGGCCGGAGTCGCCGGCGCCAGGGCGGCGAGCAGGGGCACGGCCAGGGCGCGGACGCGTCGGCGCCAGCCGAAGCGGCGGCCGAGGAGGGCGGGAAGGGTCTGCGGCAACTGGCCCATGACGAGAACAAAAAGCGAAAACAAGCCTCAAGACTATTCTCAAACAATCCAAATGAGCAATTGGTTTTTGCGCGCAATACGCGTGCATTCGGTTGGATCCAATTCGCCCTGCGGTCGCCGGGCGGTCAAGCGGCCTTGGCAAGTCGCTCGAAAGCGAAATAAAATCTCGAATATGGAAGGGGCGACAACTCGCGAACCTGACCTCGACCGGGGCATCGCCGCGCGGCTCAAACTGTTGCGGGCGGAGCAGGGCTGGTCGCTGGACGAGCTGGCGCGGCGCAGCGGCGTCAGCCGGGCCAGCCTGTCACGCCTGGAGAACGCGGAGGTGAGCGCGACCGCCAGCGTGCTGGGCCGGCTCTGCGCCGCCTACGGCCTGCCGGTTTCGCGGCTGCTGCAGCAGGTCGAGGCCGACTTCGCGCCCCTGGTCCGGGCGGAGGCGCAGACCGTCTGGACCGACCCGGAAACCGGCTTCCGGCGCCGCGCGATCTCGCCGCCGGCGCGCGCCCTGGCCGGGGAGGTGGTCGGCGGCGAGCTCGGGCCCGGACGGCGCATCGCCTACGCCGCGCCGCCGCGGCCCGGACAGGAGCACCATCTGCTGCTGCTCGCGGGGCGGCTGGAGGTGACGCTCGAGGGCCGGACGCAGATGCTGCGGCCGGGCGACTGCCTGCGCTACCGGCTGTTCGGCGCCAGCGCCTTCGCCACGCCGGCCGACAGCGCTGCCCGCTACCTGCTGTTTCTCCTGTGAGGCCGCATGACCCGCGCCCGCCTCAGCATCACGCTCCTCTCGGCGGCGGAGGCGGCCGAGCGGCTGACCGAGCTCGGCGCGCTGCTGCAGGCCTGCGTCCAGGCCGGCGCCAGCGTCGGCTTCGTACAGCCGCATGCGGCGGCCGATAGCGCGGCCTTCTGGCGCGACGCGGTACTGCCGGCCGTGCGGGCCGGCACGCGCCTCCTGCTGGTCGCGCAGCGCGACGGCGCGCTCCTGGGCACGGTGCAGCTCGACACCGCCACGCCGCCCAACCAGCGCCACCGGGCCGAGGTCGCCAAGCTGCTGGTGCATCCCGCCGCGCGCCGCCAGGGCATCGCCCGGGCGCTGATGGCGGAGCTGGAGCGCCGGGCCGTCGCGCTGGGCCGCAGCCTGATCACGCTGGACACCCGCAGCGGCGACGCCGCCGAGACGCTCTATGCCGCGCTGGGCTACCGGGCGGCCGGCCGGATTCCCGGCTACTGCCGCCACCCCCTCGAGGCGCGGCTGGAGTCCACCACGGTGATGTACAAGGTGCTCTAAGGTGCGGCGTGACCGCTCGCTCGCCGCTCAGTCGCGCGGCTCGACCCGGCCGCCCAGGTCGCGCAGGCCGGCGGCCACCGTCTCGGTGCAGCGCGCCAGCAGCGCGGGATCGGTACCGCGCAGCACCACCGAGACGCCGAAGGCGCCGCCGCGCGCGAAGGGGTAGCTGCCGATGTCGACCTGTCCGGCAAAGGCCTCCTGCGTCTCGCCGAGCAGGCCGGCGATGACGCTCTCCGGCAGGTCCACCTCCAGCGCGCGCGAGCGCAGCGGCGCGCCGCCGACCAGTCCGGGCGCCAGGCTCTCGAACATGGCCTGCATGATCTTCGGGATGCCGGCCAGCACGTAGACGTTCTCGCTGCGGAAGCCCGGCGCGGTGCTGACCGGGTTGTCGATCAGCTCGGCCCCCTCCGGCGTGCGCGCCATGCGCAGGCGGGCCGGGTTGATCCCCTCGCCGTAGAACTCCTCCAGCAGGGCGCGCGCCTGCGGGTTCTCGATCAAGCGGCGGCCGAGCGCCTTGGCCACGCAGGCGGCGGTGATGTCGTCGTGGGTCGGCCCGATGCCGCCGGTGGTGAAGAGGTAGTCGACCTCGGCGCGCAGGGCGTTGACGGCGGCCACCACCACCGCCTCCTCGTCCGGCACGACCCGCGCCTCGACCAGCCGGATCCCCAGCTCGGTGCAGCGCCGGGCGATATAGGCGAGGTTGGCGTCCTGGGTGCGGCCCGAGAGAATCTCGTTGCCGATCACCAATAGCGCCGCCGTGACCCTTGGCGGCTTGGCTTCCGCTGCGTGGGCCATGGCGGGCGGCTCTACTGCGCCGGCTGCTGGCTGCCGGCGCCGCTCTCGCTGCCCGGCGCGGCGCCGCGCACGTAGCCCTTCGACTGCATGCAGTCGGTGAACAGGCGCGACTGGCGGTTGCGTGCCTCGAAATCGCTCAGCCGGCCCTGGAAGCGCTGGGTCGTGTCGTAGGCGCCGGGCTGGCTGAGGTTGCCGCGGATGTCCTGGTCGATCTGCTGGCCGGTGCGCACCCGCGCGCGCGCGAAAGCATAGCAGTCCTCGATGTCGTCCTGCCGCCGGCTGTCGGTCACGTCGGGCCGGGTCCAGACCAGCGCCTCCGGCGGCACCGAGAGCAGCGGCGAGGTCTCGCCGGCCGGGGCCGTGGCGGCCGGCGCGGCGCTCGGCGTGCGTTCGGGACGGCTGCAGGCGGTCAACAGCAGCAGTGCGGCGGGCAGCAGCAGCAGGGCGGTCTTGGTCGCGGTGTTCATCATGGCTGGTAAACTGCCCGTCGCCGTCGCGTCCCGCAAGCGCGAAGGCGCCGGCCGGCCCGAGGCGCGCGGTCGAGGACGTGGGGCGCCGCTCCGGCGCGGCACGGCGGTTCCCTGCGGGCGCAAATCGCTCTAGCTTGCCGCCGTCATGCGCTTCGATCCCCCGCTCGTCACCGCCCGCCTGCTCCGGCGCTACAAGCGCTTCCTCGCCGACGTGGTGCTGGACCGGCCGGGCGAGGCGCCGGCGGCGGAGCGCGAGGTGACGGTCCACTGCCCGAATCCGGGGGCGATGCTGGGCCTCGACACCCCCGGCGCGCGGGTCTGGCTGTCGCCGGCCCGCAATCCGGCGCGCAAGCTGCGCTGGACCTGGGAGCTGACCGAGCCGGCCGACGGGCTCGGCCGCGGTCTGGTGGGGATCAACACCAGCCATCCCAACCGCCTGGCCGCCGAGGCGGTGGCGGCGGGCACGATTCCCGAGCTGGCCGGCTACGCCGGGCTGCGGCGCGAGGTGAAGTACGGCCGCAACAGCCGCATCGACCTGCTGCTGGAGGACCCGCGGCGGCCGGCCTGCTACGTCGAGGTGAAGAACGTCCACCTGCTGCGCCGGCGCGACGCGGCGGGCGAGGGGCTGGCCGAGTTTCCCGACTGCGTCACCGCGCGCGGCGCCAAGCACCTGGAGGAGCTGGGCGACATGGTCGAGGCCGGACACCGCGCCGTCATGCTCTACGTGGTGCAGCGCAGCGACTGCGCGGCCTTCGCGGTCGCCGGGGACATCGACCCGGCCTATGCCGAGGCCCTGCGCCGCGCCCGCGCCCGCGGGGTCGAGGCGCTCTGCGTCGCCTGCCGCATCACGCCCGAGGAGATCGTTGTCGCGCGGCCCCTGCCGCTGCAGCTCTAGGCTCCGGACTCATAACCAA